AAATGTTTCTGTTACGATTATAAAAATAATTATGTAAATTTTAAATAATAATAATTCATGCCACTCATAATCATGCTATGTTTTTGTAATCAGTTTTTTCAAAAGACCTGACCATATATTTTGGATTTGATGAAGTGTCAAACATGGCCTTTAAAGTGCTATATGTTAGCTCATGGTGTTTATCGAATACATATAAGAATTTGCAAATTCACGTAAAATATCATTAGCTCACTTTGCGTGCCACTACTTAGGGTTTCAGAACCTACCCTAAGTCAAGGAAGACTAGGCCATAGTCGACCACGCAGGCCCAGTGCGGGTTACTTCACATATACTCGTATCTTTGAAATGTCTTCACGATGTTTTTCTTCACCGTAATAACGTCAGATAAATGTCAGATAATAATCTATTTAAATCGAAAAACACATTGGTATAGGGCGGGATTCGAACCCAGGACCTGCATATTACAAGTCCAGTGCTTAACCCCTCAACCACTTACGCTCCCGATAAAATTATCGAGCAAATGCTCACTGCAGTAACTTGACTTGCATTACATTATGCATTATATTATGGATATAATATTACTAGAGTAAGAACATAATATTGTTTTTTACATAAATATGACATCACTGTTTACAAACCGATTCGATATCCGGTTATTTTATAACCTCCTGAGCACTTTAACATTGTGGTTAACTAATCGATTTCGATCTATACTATATCATTCAGAAGCAGACAACATACAGGCTGTTATGAAATGAGAAAGGTATTCTTCTATATAATTTTAGAGCCTGATGTATATAACTTAAAATAAACTTTAATAAATTATAAGGAGGGAGGGAAAGAAAAATCTTCAATGATTGATACCAAAAAAGTAAGGATTTTTATTGATACACTAATTGTCGCCTGCGACGCCGTCCGCGCGGAATTAAAAATATAATTAAGAGCCTATTTCATCTCCCAGGCTATGTTCTAAATCTGTGACAAATTTCATCAAGTTCCGTTGAGCCGTTCCGGGGTTACCTTGTAACAAACATCCATCCATCCGTCCATCTAAACTTTCGCATTTTTTAGTAAGAAATAAGATTAGTAAAATTGCTATATTGCGGGGTTGAATATGGTCGGAAGACCACACAGTTTTTAACTAGTCATGTCGTTGAACGAACAATCGGACTTAAGAAAAACATAACCATAAGTAATTATTTGCAATTAATGAGGCATCCTGGTTTTAATTTTTTTTTAAGGTATAAGGTGGTAAACGAGCGAGCGGCCACCTGAAATCGCTGAAATAGCGTAGTGACCGTTGCCCATAGACAAACGCAATTGCATTTGCGTTGCCTACCTTTAATCGACAGAGGAGAGGATGCACAGAAAGAAATCATTTTCCCTTCCTATGCATCCTCTCATCCGGAAAGTCCAATTTAACTTCCCATCCTTTCCTTATAAGAAAAAGGATGGGAAGGGAAAGATGACTAAATTAGGCCTCCGGGACGCACACTCATCAGACGAAACGCGGAATTGCTTCCACTTCACGCCTGTCTTCTGTGTGGTCGTGGTATTTTACCGGTACATATAGCATTGGATACAATTATCTGGATGTAGAAACTGCAATTAGATTATACCTCTTTAATAATTAAACCTTTCGAATAATTTCTTCCTTCCGCGTTTGTATCTATACTAAAGCTAACTGGAGCTGTAAGTGAAAGGATAGATTGAAAGTGACTCACAAGAAGTAATATTAAACTTACTATAAACAAGGATCCCCGGATCTGAGACTAGCCGGTGCCGACTCACTAGACTTATGTGCAGTTAATTATTAGTTCAGAAAAATGTAAATCCCAACGAAATCCAATAAACCTAAATAAATATAAGACCCTTCGTTTACAAAGATTGAAGTTGCCATGTCACCAAAAATAGTCACTGGTTAAGATCGTTGTGAGAGAAGTCGCTGCAATATTCAAGATGGCAGAGCAAATCTATACAGTTGACATGTAGTCGCTATGCTTATACTGACCGAATAGACGTCTCGCGGCGACGAATCAAAGTTGTGTGCACGGAGCGCGAAACGCGATTCTCGCAACGCACACAATATTATTTTCGACGATTTACGTTGCCTTGTGTACAAAGGGCCTTAAAAAAACGAAAAATCCTACAATACATACTATTAAAAGTAGGTAAGTTTAAGTAAAAAAAGGTTTATCGTAATCGTTACAACTTAAACTAGACATTAAAATGTTCTTGTACTAAAAATGTTCAACTGTAAAAGATGTTCTCGACTTTGATCACTGAAGCGTAAAGTATTATGTAAATTGCTTAAATTTAAGTTACGTTTAAGTAACAAGTTACATAGCTATGTAATTCAATGGCATCACTTAATAGTATAGTTATTAGACCGTGACTTTCGTCTAGTTTTGTGCAAAAATGTAATAAGAGCACTTCAAATAATGTTTTTAAACTTAAGTGACACAGGACTTAGTTATCAACAGTGTGTACAAGTGTTTTTCTTTGATAATTGTTGTTCTTTTATATTTTTTTATATTATGATGAAAGAGGTTTTATAATTTTACATTTTTTGGATTGTCAAAAGTATAGGTTGCGTAAGTTTTGTTTTGTCAGAGAAGAATAAATACAAGTTTTTGAAGATAAAACAGTTAGTTTAATTTCTATTTATGTAATGTATTTAAATTGAATATTTGTAACGAAATTTTGTGTATAACTTTTTTTTTATTTAAATTTAACAAATATGGTACAACGCCATCTGTGAAACCAAATCTATAACATTAATAATAAGCTATTTCTACGGAACTGTTGAATCAAACATCGAAAATAAAACGTGTATATAGTTAGTATCAATAAGACACGGATAATAACATCCGAGACTGTAGTCAATGCAAGAATCCGGAACCGCATCCAATCACACTAACGAATCTCCGCCTAATTATTATCTCGTTACTGTTATATTGATCAGCAAACCATAGCGGAGTAATGAACGAAACATTAATGAAATAAGAAAGCATTCCTTGTTATTAGGAAATAACTGGATTACGTATTTACATAATGTATACTAGATATCGCTTGATTAGTTTTTGAGTTAAAACAGAATAAACACTAAAATATTTTTATTAAATTAGAATAGTTGAATTTTTAAATTCTTTAATTAAAAAAGGTAGTACAATTTATAGAATACACTTTTTATTGCAATTCTTACATACTTTTAAAATTTACAGCCATCTACAATTACTAGATGAATTTTTCTTTACAAATTGGTTCCTAACTTACTCAATAGATGGCACATATTAGGGTACTTAAAACTTGTTTATAAAAACTTGTTCATTCATACAGTTAGTCAGATTTTATAATAAGCTTTTAAATGCATTCTTACCATTTAAATTACTAGCTAGCTTTTTGAATAAACTAAAATTTATTTTTAATTTACTCTTTCAAGCAGTCTTAAATTTTCATTAGTTCTACTAATAGCCGAGAGATGGCACTGTAATTAATTAGTATAACACTTTTGTTTTTATTCCCCTTCTATTTTTATGGTAAAACTGTTGGACTAAGCTCATTGATAAGGTGAGAAAGTTTGGCAATCAATAGTATGTTTAACTGCAAAGGGTAAACTTTGGCATCATGAAACAACTTTCAGTAAGTGTATCGTTCTTGGGAATATGGTCTTAATTTGTTGAGTGCTTCGATGAGTTTATTAATTACTCTTAAGTGCTTTTGGTTACTCATGTTATTACACCAAACATAATGTACTGTAATAATTTCTCATCATTATAAATATTTTTTTAATATATTATTCTTCCTTGTTTTTTACTTCGTGTTGCGATAGTTGAACTTTATTAAATTAAAATTTAACCCATTCATTGGAAGACTACGAGGTTTACGGGCTATTTTGGAATATTTGTAGTATTCAGGATATCTAAAACATAAAATAATTAAAAATAAACAAGTTTTTTTTATAACAAATCAAGTACAATAGAGATATGTAGAGACGGTTTTACACTAGTGGCCATAATTATTTTTTACCAATTACTAGCTGTCGCCTGTGACTCCGTCCCTGCGGAATTAAAATCACACTATGTTCTATATGTATGCCAAATTTTATCGAGATCCGTTCAGCCGTTCTGGAGAAACCGTCAAACAAACATCCATCTAAACATTCGCATTTATAATATTAGAAAGATAGTAAGATTTGATGAATATTGTAAAATAAAGTCAAGTAATACGTTAGAAAAATAATGTACTATAATAAAATTGTTCAGACTATTTTGAGATTTACTGATTTCAGTGTAAAATGCAGTTTGAATGGTTGAAAATACAAAGCTTAGAATAATTAAAATAGCTTACTTTTCTTTATAACCAGGCGGCATAGATACTTGAGAGCAAACAACACAGGCTAAAGCGAATAAAATGAAAACGATTCTGGAATCCATCGCACGATATGCGAGAAAGAACTGCAACTTTGTAAGTCTGTTAATGGTTTTTGCACGTATTCCGTTTTTATACTATAGCTCCTTTGACGGTAAATCCCCCAGATTGAGTCACGTTAATGCTTTGTGTTTTTAACCGTGTTCAAAAAGAAGGAGTTCGTCGATTCGTCTGTTTTTTATCTCTATTGCTTTTAGATACATAATTAAAACATTACATTTCGTGATGTTGTATACAAAAGATTTTAACTCGTTGATCCAAAATATTGAGCGAAATTATTTTGTTCAATATTTTTATTTTTATTTTGGATTACTTAAGTCAGAATATAACCTAAAAGAAGCAAACAACGCGGGACTGAACAATTATAATAAGATTTTTATTTAATAATTAATAAATGAATAGATAAATAAGAAATCTAACTTAATGGAAACAAATTGGATAGAGGTTAATATTATATGTGCAAAAAATACAGAATAACACGGCATAAAGGTAATAAATTAAACATAAATTATTCAAAACACTCATATAAAAATGTAATGATTTTTATTAGTTAAATTGGAAATTTTATAAATGCAGATAATCGAGACTTAACAGTGGTAGATCCCACAACAACAGTATTTGTTGGGTGCACGAATAAGTCATGTCGATTGGTGTAACATCATGACCACACGAAAGACTGGCGTGAAGTGGAAGGGATTCCGAGTTTCGTAAATGTGAATTCCGGAGGACTACCCCACGTCCCCTGCCCACCCCTTTCTTTTAAGGAAATGTTGGAAAAGGGAAGTGGATTTGGCGGAGGACGCATAGGAATGTCGCAGATGTCTATGGACAGCGTTCGCTTTGATATTTTGGCGTATTCGGGTGGTCGCTTGCTTGTTTACCATCTTACAAGAAATCCAAACCTTATAAATTTAGTGGTTTACATATTTTAAAATACATACACTATCTTTAAAGTAGTTATAATTAGTATTTATTTATTAATAAGGTTTCAGCTTTCATTTATGAATTTGGGCCACTATCGCTCCCCGTCAAGACGCATTAACGAACCACATATGTATCCTTATCCGAAGTTATGTTCGAAGGTGGCACCCACACCGTAGTCGGGTTTGCCGCGGCCGATGTCCGTGTTGACCGTACCACCAGCAGACAAATGAGTATTTTTGACGAAGTTCCATACTTTAGATAATGCCGCATCCACCTATTAAGTAAGAAAATAATTTAAAGAATCGACTGTAAAGTACAAGGAATACGAATCGAATGATGTTTCAAAATTGGCCAAGCTGTAAAGTCTGACTATAGATAACAATGGATTGGAAGTATCAGTGAAACATTTTTTAAAACACGAACATATAAAGTGTAAAGCAAGAAGACGCTAGCAGTAATCAAAATTTCAAGCAAACAGCCTTCTGTTCTCGCTTTCTTTTCACGCTTCGCTCTCGCGCCTAAAGACTATTGAACTTACGTTAGTATGTCCATGTATTTGCTTAGTAACTTCAAGAGTAGCACTGGCGTCTTTGTTGACATTGTTCCAATCGAGTTTACCACCGAGCAAGCTGCTATCTCCAGTTGCACCTAACACTCTAGTACCGTACGCTTGGCCTTGCAACTTTCCCCTGTCGTCATTAAAGATGTCCTGTTTGTAACCACCTTTACCCTGGAAAGTAAATTAAAATGATACTTGTTCTCTAACTTCGTCAATGCGTTGCTATAGTAATAAAGATTATTTTGAACTTACGAATAGTCCTTGATCGTTGTTGCCGAGAGTTCCAAACACAGTGCCTTTACCAACTTGCTTGTCCCAAGTAACATCACGTCGTTGTCTTTGTTCCCTAAAACAATTGCCTTTATATAAGTAACCTTATTTACAAAATGATGAGCCAAAGTTGGTGTTGTAACTTACCCAGAATTCGATAGATCTTCTACAGACCTTGATGATACTGCTTGTATGGAAACCAAGATAGCCAAACATATTAAATAGACTGTGGTTTTTGGATGCATTTTGCTTGAGTTTGTATTACCGACTGCAAAAAAATATTTGAGTGATGATAAATTTGCATTTCAGTAAGTATTTTTTTTTTGTTTTTAAACAATTACTTATCCTTTAAGATTTGATTGAATTCAACATAATTATTATTACTTACCTGTAAATTTGTTCTTTGCTGTCAAAGCCTTGATTATGGTATGGAGAAATGTTAACAAAGTATTCGTTTATATGTTCACTTCTCACCCCATTTTTATAAGGGGATTAACTTTTAACTGGTTACCGGGACTTTACTTTAGCGAGAGTACAATTTTCCTTAACACAAATTACAATGTTTTTAATAGAAATATTTATCCTTATATTTTTTAATACGCTTCATTTAATTTGAAAAAAAAATGCGGGCGATAACCTGAATCAGCGAGTCAATGGACATGTCTGACGTTAATCGGTGATATTCTGTTATAAATATTGCTAATGTTATAAATGCGAATGTTTAGATGGGTGGTTGTTTGTATGAATATATCTTCAGAACGGCTGCATTTATGTGGCATAGATGAAGAACATAGGTTGGAATAATTAAGTTTTTTTTAATTCTGTGCGGCCGGTATCGCGTACGACAGCTAGTGTTAAATAATCTTAATTTATTCCTTGCTAACCTATTTCGCGCAATCAGTTAAATAGGTTAGTGTTACGTCACATTGTAGATTCCTCGTTTACTCTGTGCATTAGGTCATTAAGATACGGCAGTTTGCAAATTCACGTTAGGGCTTGGATACACTGTACAGTACATGAATTGACGTTCTCATGAGCATAGTTAAGGCTGGTTCATACGTTGCAGAAAAAACAAGTCATGCTAGTTTCCAAACGCACATTAGAATGCAAAAGTAAAAAGATATACCACTTTCCAGATGTAGTTTAAGGCCTATTCATAATATTAAATACTGCATAGAAGCATGAAGTAATGCAGCCGATGAGGAATAGGGTATTTTCAAACTACGCAAAGATATGAAGAATGTATGAAGATTGCAAACTTGTTAGGATGTGTTCACACTATGCAGAGGTATGAAGACATACCACTCTGTGGATGCATGTTAGGGTATGTTCTCACTATGCGATGGCACGGAAGCGCGATGCAGTTGCACGTTAGGCAGTGTACACACTGTGTATGCGGGGGCACGGATGTGGCAGTATTTGCCGTGGCTGGATAAACAGCGCGACATGCGGGAAGCGCATAGCGCCGGATTTGGAGTGGCGCTCTTTCGATGTTTATCGGTGTAGCGATAGCATAACAATTGAACTTGATTTTTGCCACAGCCCTCTGCTTATTTCTAGCATTTTTTCTCACGATTTAACAAAGACAAGAGTTGCTCTAAGAGCAGGGAAAATGCTATTTATTCCATTTTTTTGCTTACATAAATTGTATGAAACTTTAGCAATTGTAATAATTACTCGTCGTAGTCTTTGGAAAGCATTGACAAAGGTCAATGCCCAGCACTGGGACAAAAAACGTATACCTATAATATATTTTCCACCAATAAACAATCCTTGCTATTTTAAACTAAATATAATTGCATTTTAAATTGTATTTTTAATATTTTCCACAAAAAAAAATTAATTACCATTTTACTGACCGTACACAAAGCGTTCAAAAACTGTTCGACTGTTATTTTTATAAAAACAAGGGCGGTGTTTGCAATGTAATCACCTAGTCTATCGTGTTTGTATGTGTTGAATGATGCCATTAAAAATGGTTACACATACACGTAAACAGATAAATATAGTTTAAATATTAATGGTTAAATATAGCATCAGTTCCAAAGTCATCCTACTTTTAACCCTACGAAGGGTCGACACAATATATACTGTACCGTAAGTATGTAAGCCGTGATATCTGAATTTACCTCCTTCTTGCACATATCATTATTCACATCCATCCATACATTGTTCGTTCTTCCTCTACCTTTTTAAGCTACAGATGGTGAATGCCACATAAACAAATCTTTCTTACTAATTTAAATGCGAATGTTTGAATGGATGGATGTTTAAAATTATCTGCAGAACGGCTGAACGGATCTCGTTGAAATTTGGCATACATATCGAATATAACCTGGAAGAACACATGGGCTATTAATTATGTTTTTTTTATTCCGCGCGGACGGAGTCGCGGGCGCCCGCTAGTGCATTATATGGGGATAGTTAGTGACTAATACTATTAGCTATGTTTTGAATTAAATATCAATTATTATAATATCTAATATTCCTAATTCATATTATATAACTATATGTATGTATGCATAACCTAAATCCATGCATTTTGGGAAATGGACCCGCACCGGACATGTAACATGCTTCAATCACAGAGCACACTCCAGAGAGCTGTATTTACTCTGTATATAACGTGTTCGTGTCCATTGTACCTCACGTCAAAGTAGCACGGCATAATGTCGATATCTGAAATAAAAACTATTGACATTTTTTTACGAAACGAACTAAAACTACAATGGTAAATCGTTATTTTCCATAACTAAAATATCACTGCATATACTTATTATTATCTTCTTTTTTGGCTAATATAATAAGAGGAATGTTTTTGTTAACGAATTTCAACAGTAGAGGCGTGAGTAATAGGTACATTATTTATTAATGAAAGAGTAAATTTCGTCAAGTTGTAAAGTAAATTTGATATTAGCATCCTATAAGAAAATCATAGTACAAAACAGCAGATTAAACTGCTGGACACAATTAGAATAAAAACAAATTCGAAAAAAGTAGCAGTACTCAGTGCCGTGCGCCACTAAGTCCACGCAGAACAAAAAAAAATTAGTGACCTCCGCGTTCCTCCAGACTATATTGTACATTTAGGCCCAATTTCAGCGTGACCAATTCAGCCGTTCTGAAGACACATAACAACAAGATTAATTTAAATACAATATGTGGGTCACTTGTCGTAACGTATCCGACAATGGGACCGCGCAATTTCCCGTACACTGCCGAGTCAACATAATGGATGAGCATTGCATTTGGCGAACGCCCAAAATTTACTGCTAGAAACTGTACCACGCCGCACGTATGTTGCGAGTAATAGATACGGTGTATATAATGGTAGCCAGGAGCCAATATTGCTGATATGGAACCAAGTTTATTTCAAACTAATAGCAGTAGTGTAATATTTCAATGAGTTCCAAATAAAATATCGGCAAGTATCATTACGAATATGCTCTAAAATATATGACGCCTGGTTACATTATGCCAGTACAGTAAGACAATAGCACTCAAATCAGTGCTGGCAAACAACTGGTAAGTAAACACTGACTGGCACTCGTAAGCTTATAAAGTCCATGCCAGAATATACTGTCCTACTGAAATTGACCGATGACCTGGTCAAGGTTGCGGGAGCGTCATGCAGGTGGCACAAGACCGGTCATCGTGGCGATCTTGGGGGGAGGCCTATGCCCAGCAGTGGGCGTCTCATGGCTGACGGGACGGAACTGGCATAATGTAAATCAGGTATAAGTAAGTAAGAAATATAGCTCCGTAATCGCTGCCAAATCAGTCCATCAGATAAAGATCTTAACAAATCAACGTCAAAGTTCGTTCCTGGAATGATGCCAAAGAAGACCAAAAATTATCAAATGTCATATTATTTTAGAGTAAAATACCGCTGTCCTTCCACTCGTGATAGTTTGAACAATAGATAGTTAACTCAAAATGACAAACAAGAATACAGGGAGGGCCTAACACGAAAAATAGCGAGTAATTTTTTTTGGTAAAATATTAGCAATTTTTTTTTATAAATTTACTAATATTTTTTTTACCATTCCAACTAAGCTCTAGGCTTGTGTTTGGATATGGTTTTACGACAAAAGTCTAATGGCATGATTCGAACCCCCGACCTCGTGATCGGAAATCCGTACCCTTAACCATTAGGTGATTGACTATTATTCGTAACGTCATCGAAAAATTTGTATTAGACTTGTATAAACCGCCCGGATGGACGTAAACGTAGAATGACAAATTTTGACATTATTTTCGATGAGATTACGAAAACGCATATCGCAATCATTCGTAATAGACTCTCAGTCTTCCTTTTTACCATTTAAGTAGGTTGTTCTTTTCTATTAATAAATTTAATATTGAAGGCGATTTTACTAAGAGTGCAGAACTATTCTTCGGACGATATTTAATATCGATAAATAGACCTAATAAACTTTGGATTTAATTAGTTTTTGTATTACGTTATAAGTTTACTATAAAAGCAAAATTCTGACACTAATGTCCATTATCTTTCCTACATTATGTGAGCTTCCCGTATGTTTACAATTTACATTAAAATTTCGATAATAAAGAGATTAATTTTTTAGAGGCTAAATTTTAATTAAGATTATGCAATGCAAATTAATCGATATTGGGTGGTTGTTTGATTCTACTAGCTAAACTCAGCGTTGCAATACTTACGTTAAAATAACGTTATTCTATCCACTTACAGACCAACAAAGTTATTTGACCCTATGGACATAAATCAAAGTTAATTATAATAGCTCACTAACGCCCCCTTGTCAATGTAAAAAGGTCTCAAAATATTTTTGTGCTATTGCAGCATTCTTGTTGGGTATTTTATTAGTAAATTTTATGCCTAAGTAGACTTTTCTTACATATCTAACAGTGATAGATAAAAACCTTGTCGTAGAGCAAAGCTGTCTAATGTTCTATTTTCTATGCCAGAGAAGATTTCAAAGTTTTAATATTTTCTAACTCAACTGTTAACAAGACCTCTGTCACGGGATAGACAAATTTGTCGCACTTTTTAGAAGCTTAAAAATGGCATAAAACATGACATGTCAACTACAATGGGACAATGTACTAATGACATGTTTTTAAATTCAGAAGGTGGCGCTAGTGAGCTATATTAATTTAGTTTCACTTATTCCCACCGGGTAAGACAACTTTGTCGTTCTATATATGTTTTTATTGGGGAAATTTATCTTAAAAATCAATAAATAAATGAATAATTATTATCATTTGACAATACATAAAATATGAACCTCAAAACCGTTCGGAGTTTATTTTGAATTGTACAAATTTATTGGAAAATGTACATAATAATAAAACAATTAATAACAATCATTCCCAATGTTTACCAACGGCTTTAATTAGTGCCCGCGGACGAACGCTGCAGTATCGTGTTGTTTCAGCTGTACGGATAACGAAGTCACAATAGATCAGTGG